TTCACACGAAGACAGTCGGGAGTTTTATTGCAAAGTTACTGCTACCTCTAATGCATGCCTGGAAACTTATGGATGCGAACAAACTAGGACCGGTAAAGATATCGGGCTGACAGGAGTTTTGTCAGAAACGCGAGAATGCTATTTGGAAGTGTGGATCGTGCGGTTGGGATGGACTGCAAAACGGAAACCAAAGGAAACATTTCCTGTTTTTGCGTTGCGTGCATAATTTGCTTGAACTCACCTCGCGTCCAGCCTGGGCAGCAAGAAAATCGTCGTATATCTTCAGGGCATGGCACTGCATCTTCTTTGACTGACTAAGTTTTTTATAATTCTCACACGCGATCCAAAATTCAATGTTCTCGTCACTGAATTCCGTCGTGAGGAACTCCTTGAAGAGTGCGAGGCCATCTGGATAGGTTTAAAAATTGCATATGTTAGCATCTGTTACGAAATACTTTAATATCATTACTCTTATTAATATTATTATAACTCTGTGTATTATAGCATGTAGATTATTAATATTAGTATTTTATCAAATACTCGTTCCGTAGGTAATAAAACGTTCTTTCAGAGAAGTGAACAACCAACTAATTTGCAGAATGACCCTGGTCCATGTAGGTTTCTATTTTTAGTTTGAGTGGAATATGATTTTTGCATAGAACAGTATATGCCTGTACCCTCAAATGGGCATGAATTTTAATCTGATATTTCAGTAACTAAATCGAACCTACAGAGCAGAATATCGCTTTTCGGAAGTTCTGGCATGCTTTTGCGATAATAATCAATGCTTTTCGAATTAAAAATCAATGCGTTGTAATTAGTTCAATCTTTTTAATGGGAAAAGGACTCTGCAACAGCCTAATTGGCATACAGACTGCGATCAAGCCACATTTTCAGCTGAATGCATGAGCTTCCGGTGGCTCTGTCGTCGATTTGGCCACTTTGCAGCAGAACGAAACGGTCTGTGTTGGTCTAAGCAGTCTTTCTGCTCAGAGCGCTATAATCCTAACGTGTAGAGAATGGGAAAAAACGAATGGGAGCTGCTCATCCTATATAGAACCTCAGTGAGCGTCGGAGGCCCTGGGTCTGCGCGTGCACGTGTCCAGTAGGATATGTCGGACGTGATCGAATAAACGTCACGCAAAAGCGAGTCATTGGCTGCTTGATTAGTTGATTGACCAATAGCATTTTCTGGGCGGCTGTGATTGGTCGTGCCAGGGGCAGCTCAAGAACTGCAACCACGTGACTCCAAAGATGGAAGGACGTACAGACTTTAATGTTTTGAGCCCGTCAGAGCTAGCAACTGGTCAAGGAGAAATATCCACAAATAGAACGTTCCTGAAAACGGGAGTCAAGGTCACAAAACGGCCTTTCCTACGACGGTAAATGTAATACCAACTCAGATGTCAGTGGCAGTCAACCGCACCAACACGCTACGTTCCAGCCCCGTTTTTTTGGTGAAGCTTATGGACACACCAGTACCAGGGCTGCCTGCTAGCCAATCGGCAAAAATACAAGTGTCTACCAACACCAGTATGGTGCTAAAGCGGAAGCTTGAGTTACAAGCGGCAAAAGCACTCGACTGGCAAAGCGAGTGCCGCGTAACCGTGCAGTTTGTCTCATCTTTTTTTTTAAAATATGAAACGTGCGGAATGTTTTAGCATAATTAAGTTAACAGTAAATTAAAGAGGAAACATGCTAAAGGAATGGGAATTCTCATTCCAGACATCTTTGGCTGATTTATTTGGAGATTATGGTTCAGATTCAAGGTTAAGGTTGCACCCAGGCAGGGTTGTAAGTAAGGGGAGTGCGAAGGTTTGGCTTAGAATTACTTTTAGTGTAGGGTTCTGTTTTTGTTTGCTTGGGTATAAGACTGATACTACGTTCCTTCCCTGGAAATTTGTGGATGACCATCTGTATAACTGGGACTTCCTTTTCTCGTGTCTTATCACCTTACCATCATCTTATCAAAATCCGATCTTAAGGAACGGAAATTATTGAAATCTTGCCTGAGTGGAAGGCAAAATTTAAATTCACTTGCATTCTTCCCTCCTGATAATCAGAAAGTTTCAGATATTTTCCCTGTTTAAAATCTCACACTTAATCGGTAACTGTTTGTGCTCAAACAGCATGTTACAAAATGGAATGAATAATTGAAGTCAACATATTGGGACTACTTTTCCCATTAGTGATCATTTGTGAGGTATTCGTCAATCAAGGGAAAGTAAATGATTCACTTCGAAATGATTGAAAAAATATTTTTAACGTTTATACTTGAGGGTATGCAGTTGTTATGCCTCTTGCTTTACGTAGCTTAAACCTTACGTAAATTGTCACTCGGGACAAGCAGATTTACCAACGCGCAGTTCCTTACCTACTTTATCGGAAATGCTATTTTTAAAATGATCGAGGCCATCTAAGCCTTACTAGGTGGTCTTGCAATTGCCTTCTCTGCAATAAATCTTATCCACATTTGTGGAGTGCACGTTAGGGGCTTTTATGTCTAAATGCGCGCCTGACCGCCGCATATAAGGCAATGTGGATTAAGAAAAATCAACGAGTTACGAATTCTGGTTTCAAAGGTCGTCGGAAATTTAATTCCATAATGTAATTGGATGCCATGTTTACAAGAGAACTACTTGACTTGACAGTCACGCAAGAGACGTCGGTTCCAACGCTTGAGACAGGCAACCAATGTTTGAATTAGTCGTTGGCATTCAAAAATGCCGCCCGTTGCTTTGGACTCCATTATGGGAGTCTTACGGCTGTTTTAGACTTTTCGCTTAGAAACAAATGTCCCCGACCTATTCTGCACGCTAATTATGTTAGCTCTTGCTATTTTGGCATATAGTAGTAGGATGCGAGAACTTGAGGAAAGGAACCTTTCCAAAATAAACGGCAACTACTTCGTTTAAATGATGTAACGCCCAGATTTCACTGAGCAACATTTTCGGCGTCCCCCAAAAAGCATATGTGATTAACCCACAAGGAATTTCTATTCCAACAACCATCGCTAATGCCATGGACGCACCTGTATTTGACTAAAGACTTTATCAAAACTCTCACTGTGAAAGGCTGATAGACGAGGAAGACTATTTGTGGCCGGGTATTCGAGTTTAGTCTTATATGGAGTACACTCTAATGGTGAGGGAGAACAAGCCAGATACATTTAGTCGGGGTTTCTTTGCCACGGATTATTACATATCTGGATCGGCTACCGATCCTCGATGTAGGACCAGGTTTTCTCAGCATATATTAGTGAAAGTCATTCGCAGGACACACGTGTAATTATCAATCAAATGTGATAAATAATGAAATTTTCGAATTTGAAAGAGCATAAAAATAAAACCCTTGCTTTTTGCTGCGTTTCAACGGAATCCAATGGTCGCCTGCATCATACTGTTAGGTACTGTCTACTGGCACTTTAAAGCGAATTACTATAAAAGTTACCTATTACCCCAAAATCATAAAATTAAGCAAATGAAATTAATAATTATGTAAATCGTGTAATTATTGTTTATAAAGTAATTATGTGCCTGCAGATTTACCGTTTGCGCAAAAAAGGCAATCACTTTAGTGTGGTAAATTGCTAACGTGTGCTAAATCCTGAATCATTAACTGTTTAACATGTATAGTATAAACGCACAAACTGTTCGACTTGCTATTAGCACCTCCAAAAATCGGAATATTTCTCGCCTACGTTTTTTTATAATTGCACAATTTTGATGATTCGTTTAGGTAAACATTATTACCAATTCGATGCTACAGTTCAGATCTCCAAGGTTAAGAATTAATGAGTCTTATTCCTACAGATCTCAGAAAACTGGAAGAGAAAATATAACTTCAAAAGAACGCTTACGAATAGAAATTGCTAGAGCATCTAAATATCGCCTCAATTGGATGAAAAAAATGGCTTTACACTACAATGCGATTACCACTGCATCGACAACGGAAGAACATACTTCTCGGAACTACAGACACAAATATTTCACATTATTTGTTTGCAGTAGTGTTTTGTCCATATAAATGAATGTGGCCGCCACAGATGTAAACCAGATGGACCGACAAACCTTTCCAGTACGATCCATTTGTTGGTTAATTTTTAGCCTATTCAAACAAGGTCAAGTGCCAAGAATATTGTCATATGTACTCGATAATATGGGGGTTTAAGAAAGTTTGTGAAGCAATCCCATTCTCCTGGACAAAAGTTCAGGGCAGAAAAAATGATTGTCTTATCCTAGGAGGACGGTTTACAGAAAATTTGCGTCCGGATATCCACAACCCTGACCAGAGGTTAACGTTGCCTAGTTATAAAGACGTAAGAGTAATAGAGGCAAAAAGGAACTGATTTAAAAATTCCTCCAAAAAATCACCTACTTTCGCTGGTTAATACTTTAAATGGCTAGTCTGGCTTATAAGAAACCTAACTTACATCGAATACCTGAGCTGCATAATACTTGAACAAAATTCACGCCACTGATTCAGTTTACGTCTACTTGCCGCAAACGCTACAGTTAAAAATGCACAACGGAGTTTCGCTAAACACACACACTCGTAATTATTGTGCGCTACATCATATTTAACCCCATTTCCTGATCTTTAAAAATAAATGTCCCTCTTATCACATTTACCATTTATTGCTCAGTTCAGATGTCTATGGTCTGCAAGAAAATGTCAGCCAGCTGACATAGGAGCATCCAAGCGAGTCGGTTATTTCCACTCCGACGGAGAAAATGTCCCCAAACAGGCTAGCAGTTGGAGGAAAATGAATGATATAGGAATAAATTGTCAAATTCCGAGATCCTATCTCAATTTTGTCATTTTTTTTCAAGCACGGCAGAGCCTGCCACGGGAAAATGTAGCCTGCAGATAATGGCTTATAATTAGTTAATAGGAGTACTTACATTTGTCATGAAGGAGAGACTCAAATGACTTGCGCCACATGTGAACTTGCTCGTAACTTGGTTTCCCCGAGGATATCATTCGCAGTAATTCATCTTGCTGCAGGGATTTCACTTGCTTGTAGCTCTTCTTGAAGAACGGAAGGGCCCTATTTTAAAAGACAAAATGGAACATATACCCTTGTGCAGGAATGGAGGACGGCATCGTCTTTACTATTATAAAGAGGTCAACTTTAGAAGAAATTTCCCCCATACCTGATTATAGATACCTAATTAGACAGCCGTATATATTCCTAAATGAGTTTTAGCTTCTTCAGTAAACTGAAAGGCAGGTTATTGGAATATCAAGATACAAATAATCAACAAAACAAACTACGTTAGCTTTCGAGTACTCCACCGTGTGGTTCACATTTCCTCCTATATGACCTGTAGGCCTACATCGCAGTTAGTTTAGCTTTGTTGAAATTGGTAACTAGAGGCTGCGAATTTATCCAACGTTCCCTTTATTTCCAAAAACTATTGGCAATAGCAGATGCAACTGTCAGGAGCTTTTTTTGTGAAAAAACAACGACCTGTAGTAGCATTATATCTGTTATCGGTACATGCAAAGGTCAGATGTAGCACCTGTCATAGTCACGCGCCAAGCAGGTGCCCTTTGGCCTGTTTTTGAAGAATAGTAGTGAGGAGAAGGGGTAGAAGGCTTTGAATTGTAGGCGCGCAGGCTTTCCGCACATTCCCCGTAGACACTTTTGTACATAGACATCCGCAAGCACCGATGTTATCTGCGTGGTACATAGGGTCGGCGCAGTACTCATGACTTGTGTGACTGTGTGAACTAGCTTAAAGGTAGGAAAAAGTGGTGCGTTCTCTCCACCCTCATGCACTACGTCAGACGGCGAGACAAGGGCTTAATGATGTAGGCGCAGACGCAGGTAAAAATTAGCACAAGGCCTGACGACTACTAGGTCAGTACACGGCGACTCCGATCACACCTAGGTGTGAAATCGTAAAGGCC